CACACTGGGGTTATCCCACCACTGGCTTTCACTCTCCTGACTCTGGATTAAGACTCAGCGAATTAAACATGACTGGTACCACCTGCTGAAGCCATTTCAGCTACAGACACACTGAATACTTCAGATAAAACCCACACACAAAGGGCCAACGTGTGTGTGTGTGTGTGTGTGTGTGTGTGTGTGTGTGTGTGTGTGTGTGTGTGTGTGTGTGTGTGTGTGTGTGTGTGTGTGTGTACAGATGAATGAAGAACTCTCACTTTCATCCTCTACTGTACTATTGACATCTTAACCTCCTTCAAAGGAGCTAATTGTCAGAATTGCACAGTGGGACTGTGTTTTAACCGTCTAAAGCCTCAAATATGAAATAATTATTTTATACAAAGAGGTTTTAAATGAAAAAAATTACATTATGGAAAAAGAAAAAAAAACGTTTTTATTCCAATTAGCTTTTTAAATCGAAACTTAATTTTATTTTGTGTTTTAGAATTTTACTAAAGAAAATTAACAAACAGAAAACACCCTCTGATGTTCAGCCTGCAGTTGTGTGTGTGTGTGTGTGCGTGTGCGTGTGTGTGTGTGTGTGTGTGTTCCTAAACTCCTGTGGTGTGTTGGCAGCACATCTGTCCTAAACCCCAAGTTTCAATTAGCACAGCGATGCTTTTCCCACAGCAACGCAGAAGGAACCACAGCAGCAGCCAAACGGACCGGGTCAGAGCCAAACACAGCAGCTGCATCTCTGTACACACATCCAGCATCTGGACACTGTCACACATCAGCCTCTCATCCTCACTATCCTTCCATTGGATCCCAGAGTTTTCCTTACCTGGATGTTAATTAGAAAACATGGAAGGAACATAACAGCCTCTGACATCATCCATCAGTCATGACGCTAGCCTGGCCTGCCAGACTCCTCCTCTGTTTAATTCTGCACAGCGAAAAGGTCTGGGAACTCTCCTGTTCAATAACCCCACCCCCTGAGAATTCTAACAGAGCCAATCAGCGTTGAGTAGCGTACGTCACACTCCACAACGCCGAGTTTGTCAGAAACATGGCGACTGAAGCGGAGTTCGCTGCGGCTCTTTCCTCTGGTCTAAATGACTTGAACGTCTTAAAAACAACAACAAAGATGTGAGGATCTGGGGTGAGTGCTGCAGCGTTCGGTTCATTTTGCTTCAGTCTCTTCAGGTGGGCGGTTCCGGAGAGAGGCCAGCTGCAGGCTATTCCAAATCAACCGGGCCAGTGTATATAAGGAGCTGAGCGATCACTTCACTTCGCCGGATGATGACTCACTTTGGGTAGCTCTTGCCATTGTAGAATAACTATAGTCTTAGTCTTTAGCATTGTGCTCTCGCTCAGTAGTTGTTGTAATTTTGTATGCACTCCATTATGTGCTCACCAGGAACTTCCACCATTGATCAACACAGCAATAACCAGGATTTCACCTCCGAGCCTGATCTCACCCTCCAACTGGACCGACCCGCTCTCCCACCGCTCACCCCCCTCGGATATTGGATTATCACCTACGCAGCTCACCCCAGTCCTGACTACCCTCCCCAAGTTCTTTGATCTCAGTCCAACAGTAAGAACCTCAGAAACCAAGTCCTCCTAGTTTTCCACTCTGTCCAAATACTGACCAGGGTTTGTCTCAGCAGACCCAACCCCGGAGCTGTACTCGGCATCACCGCCACGTCTGGCGGTGCACCTTTAGTTTCCATTTCTACTTACCCTCGTCTCCTAGTGTGATTCTGCATGTCTTGGGTCAGGAAACTCCCCACGAACATGTCAGCAGAAGCGCTAAAAGCCTTTCTTATAAAAATAAAAGATGTTTGCGCCATCGCCAGACGCCTTTTGTGATTACAGCTAAAAAAAACTACAGCGTCGTGCGGTACAGTCGGAATTTCTGTCTTTTTTCTGATTGGTTATTTTTAAGCTGCCTAGTCCCGCCCCTCAAGTGCCTCTCTGCCTGTGAGTTACCAGACTCTCTCTGTGCAGAATTAAACAGAGGACGAGTCTGGAAGGCCATGACATCATGACCCAGAACGTGACATCATGACCCAGAACGTGACATCATGACCCAGAACGTGACATCAGGAATTTTCCCTTCAGTTTCATAATTGTACTTCTTTTTGTGCTCAATAATGTTCTTTTCAGCCACGTTAACCCTTTACCAGTTCTTGTTGTTTACTTTCCTTCTTGCTGCCATGATGAATGTAATCGCTACGGCGACTCTAACATCTCTCCACTGAGGGACAATAAAGGGCTTTCTATTCTGTTCCGTTAATGCATGCACTAAACTAAGGGGCTTGTACCAATCATTCAGTATAAAAACCATTACAGTTCAGAACAGCAGTTCAGTCATGGAAAGTCCAACTTCCTCTGAATTGTTTGACATCTGAACGATGTCTCTACTGTGAGGTCTACCTGAGCTTCAGAGCTCCAGCGGGGCATCCTCACCTGGTTTGCCTAAATCCCACTGATGTCTGTAAGGGGCAATTCTTGTAGACAGGATTAAATGCATCTGAAAGCCAGAGCGTACATTCCTGAGAATCCATATTTGATGTATTTATTGCTGTTAGATTTGTACAGAGTTACGTAATAAACCAGCTGAATTGAAGACCAGTGGGCGGTGTCCACCACCGCCATCTTGGCCGCATCACTTGTCTCGTCACTAAGAGAAGATACCCCAAAAAAATGGAACTGCGAGCGGGGCTGTGAGGGTGGGGGCAGATCAGGGGCGTCTCCAGCCTTTAAGGACCACCGGGGCTTAACCCAGACCACAAGAAACAACAACTTTAGTAAAAAACAAGAGTGCTGTGTAGAAACATCATTTAAGCACTGTAGTCAAGTCAAGCTTTATTTATATAGCACATTGAAATGGCAACAGCGTTACCCCAAAGTGCTGCACAACAGTAATAATAAAAATTAATAAAAGGAAATTCAATAGATGACAAAGCATCATTAAATATTAAAACCCACAAGGAACTAAACACAGAATATGTAACGCCTGTTGAAGATAAGGTATCACATATAAAAATTTAAAGACAAGAAAACCCTGGGTCACTAGATTATAAAATATCTAAAATACCACAGAATACAGATGTGTTTTCAACGTGCTTCAGGAGTGGCCCAGTGAATCAGCTGTCTTTACATCCAGGGGCAGGCTGTTCCACGGCGAGGAGCCACCCTTGGTTTTGAGCCGACATCTGCGTGTGGCGAACAGCTTTAGATCAGCTGATCTAAGCGCTCTGGACAGGACATATGGTTGAATGAGGTCACAGGTATGATGGAGCCTGCCCGTGCAGACATTTAAAAACCAGCATCAAAATTTTAAATTCAGTCCTGAACTTGACAGGAAGCCAGTGGAGGTCAGCCAGTACCGGGGTGACATGGTCATTCTGTCTTGATCAGAGGTGGAAAGTAACGAATTACATTTACTCACGTTACTGTAATTGAGTAGCTTTTTTGTATATTTATACTTTTTAAGTCGATTTTAAAAGCTGTACTTTTACTTTTACACGAGTAAGTTTTTAAAAAAGAATTGTAATTCGCTACATTTTAAATAATATCCGTTACCGAGTAAAAACAAATTGGCTTAATAAATTAAAAATATTGCGTGTAGCAGCGTCGGAATAGAAAGAGGCACCTGCATGAGCGCCGCGTCTAAACCGTGGGAGGTGTGGGTGTACACTTCTGCTCCAAAACATCAGTTCAGTCCCTGTGATCCACTCGCTGTTCACCTCCTCTCTCCCTCCTCTCCTGTGGGTTGGAACCCGCACCTTTGCGCACCGGTGTGACGTCATCACAATTCCACTCGGTTCGGTAACCGGACTCAGTTCCGTGTTTGAAATGTGTTTCCCTACCGCTCCGCACGGAAGCGGCAAAATAACGTTTAGCACTCATAACAAGTGGATTATCAGCGCTCTGCTCATAAAACAGAAGACCTGCAGTTCTCTTTGAGTTAAAACATCCTGATAATGTTCAGGTGTAAACATTGTGTTTGAACTCAGAAGATGCTCTTTGATGCCAGATATGTGATGATTTAGCTTGTTTCTTTATTTTACTCCAGAATAAGAGACTAAATTATTACTAAAGCAGTTCAATGTAGTTAAATTAGTCATTCAAATTATTCTAAAATGCTGCAGTGTGTGTGTGTGTGTGTGTGTGTGTGTGTGTGTGTGTGTGTGTGTGTGTGTGTGTGTGTGTGTGTGTGTGTGTACATAACGTAAATTCAGCTTTAATAATTTTCATTCTATACAAAATCTGCTAATTTGAAGGAATGATGTCATTAATATCGGTATAGGCCCGAAAATTTCATATGGGTGCATCACGAATATATATATATATATATATATATATATATATATATATATATATATATATATATATATATATAACTTTAAATACACGAATATATGCAGGTGTACTCTCTAAGATTCAATACTTTAATGCCTGTTCAATAAAATACCTGGTTTCTGGTTTGTCATATCTACACTGTGGAACCCTTTAAAAACAGGTGTGTGTGCGTGTATACATGTGTGTGTGTGTGTGTGTGTGTGTGTGTGTGTGTGTGTGTGTGTGTACGTATGTGTGTGTGTGTGCGCGTGAGTGTGCGCATACGTGTGTGTGTAAGTGTGTGTGTGTTCGCGTGTGTGTGCGTGTACGTATGTGTGTGTGTGTGTTTGCGTGTGTACGCCTGTGTGTGTGTGTTTGCGTGTACGCCTGTGTGTGTGTGTGTGTGTGTGTGTGTGTGTGTGTTACACAGGCCTGTAAAGATTCCTTCCAGCTGAACCAACAACAATAAACTGATGAAGTCATTTTTTTGGGATAAAATATTAAAAGAATCTCATTTTAAAGAGGGAAAAAAACATTTTTTCTTAACTGACGTCATTCATCTGGAATTGTTCTGGTGGGTCGGTTTGGACCTGAGCAGAACTCTAATGGTTCCGTTTTACTACAATAAGGTTTTATTCTAAGGATGAGTCTCATCCTCTGGGTCTTACCCGGACAGCTTCAGGAGCTGGTTCTGCTGGTTCTGGTCCTGCTGCGGGGCCGTCTGGGTCCCCATCCTGCGGGTCCGAACCTGGCCCCCAAACGGACTCAGGTCTACGTTATAAGCGAGCGGCTGACCGGCCGGACCGTGGCGGGTAGAGATGGAGCTGACTCTTAGCGCTCCGTCCCCTCCTGTCGAACCCGGCCCAGGTCCCGGTCCCGGTCCGGGCTGCAACACGTAGAGCCGCCTGACGCCGTTCCGAGCCTGCTGCCGCTCCTCTGAGTCACAAACCGGAGACAGAAACAGGCTGAAGGAGAGGAAAAGGCCCAGCCGGATCCAACCAGCCATCTCCGCTCAGAACCGAGTCAGGAAAAGTTCACTCTGGGAAAACGTCCGAATCCGTTCACTCCAGAACTTCTGCAGAAGTCCTGGGAACCTTCATGTAGGTAGGACCTCCTCCCGGCGCCGCAGCAGGAACCAAAGTTCGAGCTCGGATCAGAAGTTTGGGTCCAACAGGAGCTCCAGTGTCCCTCCAGCCCGGAGCGCTCAGGGTCCCCGGGTCGTCCCTAACGCGGCTCGGTCACAACTCCGGTTCGGAGGCGCAGCCTGCCACCAGACGTGACGTCAGCAGCAGGCGGAGTGGGGGGCAACCTCAAGGAGGGAGTTGTCTGGGGGCCCATGGGTGTCGGGAGGAGCCCCCACCCTCACGGACGGACCCAAACACATCCGGGTCTGTAAGGTGATACCGGAGCCGGTGTGGGGGCGCGCAGCGGGTGTGCCACCAGGTAGGAGGAGGAACGGTGTATCAAAATCAGGAGGCATTGCACAAGAACTGAATAGATGAAGGAAGACTCTAGAAGGAGCAGAAGAGGAGAAGGCGGTTATGAAGGTCACTCCAAACCTGAGCAGGTGAGTTTTCAGCTGTTTTAAAGGAGACCACTGAGTCCACTGATCCATGGACGTAGCTTTGGGACTTCAGGTGGACCTGAGGAGGACCCACACAAACGATGTACTCTGTGGTTTTATGTCAGAAACAATACATATAAAGTTGTCTGTTATTGTAAATAATTGTGTAACCCACTAACAGCAGCAGAGTCTTAAAAAGCTCATTTTTTACGAAAAAAAACATTAACAGCAGGAAATGCTGGAATTTCATCAGTTTGGATCAAAAGTGGACAAAAGGTTATACAAATATGTATTTATTGGTATTTTGTTATTTAAGGGACAAACTAGACTTGTTTTTATGTTCGGTCACTTTGATGCAATAGTTCTGGTCCAAATGCCACCCTCGTACTCCCGTACTCTGTAGAACGGACTTTCTGCTGTACTCGCCAAGAACGTACTGGCGTCCTCGGGTTTAGAGAAACTGCGGTGAAGTTTGGGAGATTTGAGCCTTCTTGTAGCAGCAGCAATACAATCTCAACTCAGCGTTTTTGTGAAGCGCCTCGTGATTTTTATCTTGAGAGGCGCTATAGAAATGATATTTTCTTCTTCTTCTTCTTCAATTGTATTTACACTAGCCGTTAGCTCATCAATCCCAAAGAATGTAAATCCTATTTCTCTAAGCAGAGGCTGTTCAGGAAAGAATCTGGAACAGGTAATTATTTAAACGTTTTCAACTTTAAATTGGCCATAATGTCCCTTTAACACAGGGTTAACGTGTGAGTGTCAAGAGGGACATGTCCGAGCTGCCGTGTCTTCTGTCCTGATGTCCCTCCACCAGAGCTATTCCTGATCACTGAAGTCATGTGAGCTTATTTTAGTTTCATGAGAAAGTCTGGAGGCCACGTTTCCTCCACGGAGAGCCCTCAGGAAGAATGTGTGTTTGTTCGCTGATTCATGTGAGACAGATCCTGGTGGTCCCTGCTGGCTGATTGGAAACAGAACCTGGACAGACCGGGTCGGGTCAGAGCTTTCTAGGAAGGCCCGAGAAGCAGAAAGAGCTGGCGAGGCTCCGAGGAGGGCGGAAGTCACCATGAGTCATCGTACATCATGTTTTAAAACTGTGTGCAGATAACTGCGTCATTCAGGCTGCAGGTCGGGTTGTGTTGGAGTGGCTGCCTGGTGCAACAGTTGCCTAGCAACAAGAAGGTTGTAAGTTCGAACCCCATAAGTTTCGGATCATTTCCTCCTGAATGAATCTCGTCTGAAGCTGGAGCGACAGAAACATCCCACGAGAAGCCGTTCAGAAATTCTCTCTCGTAAAACTTTAACATCTTCTCTAACCTGTTGGTGGGTCAGGGTTCAGGTGTTCTGTGTCAGGTCACGTTTCTGAACCTCTCAGAGGAACACGGCTCCAGCTTTGGAGAGCAGCGCGTTAAAATGTTCTGATCCAAACTGAAAGTGAAATGATGATCTGTCCGTGATGGAATATAAACAGTCTCACACACGTTTCACATTTAGTTTCACCACATTTCAAACGGTCTCACGAGCGGTGCTGATAGATCTAGATCCAGGTGTGCAAATCATGCAGATGTTGATCAGTGAAGCTCTGAGAAATGTTCTCATCTAGGGAGACAGAAAACAGCTTTGTCTTTATAACAAATGCAGCAACAAGAGATCATTTGTTTTGTGGAAATGCTTCATCTGCTGCTGCAAAGTGAATAAAGAAAATGCTCTGAGGTCGGAGTAACCCAGGCGCATAAATAACCGCTCACAGAAGAGCTTTCAGACGAGTCGGAGGAATGGCGTCTGGTTGGTTAACGCGTGTCTCGTTGTACTGCACTCTCGCTCGAGAGCTCTGGTTTTTAACCAGCCTTAAGCAGTTGGTATAAAATCCCTGAATAAACACAAAAAGTCTCAAAAAGACCAAAATCACAAGCATCAGTTTGAAAAGAACGTGTTAGACCAGGAATCAGAACCTCTCAGCTCTTTGTGTTGTAGCACGAAGACAAACGTCTCACCACCTGATGGGACACACGTGTAAAAGGAGCCTTACAAGTTTTAATGGAAACAAATAACTCCACGTACACTAATACCTAAGGGTTTTGTGTCGACATCTAAAAACTACCTAAATAGCTGTTTCCTGGTTTTATTTTATTTATTAGGCTAACAGGATCATCCATGAAAAGACGGTGTGGAGCAGGTGTCACCAACCCAGTCCTCCAGGGCTGTGTACCACACCTGGACAGAGTCATTTAATCCTCTCCTCACCACCTTTATTTCTGCCCAGGCCTGTTAGTTACTCACTCATGTCAATCAGGTTGGGAGCCCTCGACGACTGGAGGTGGTGACCCCTGGTCTGGAGCATACAGGCGCGTGTTAACAAGATCATCAGTAATGCAACTGTTGCTACTAAGTCAACCTCGGCAGGGTCAAAGGTCATTTCCTAACAAACATTCTACAGGTGGTTTATTCATAAGAGAACATTTTGGACTTTCTAGCAAGCTTACCAAAGGTCAGAGGTCAAAACTCAGACAAGACAGGAAACACCAACAGTTTAATCTCAGACTCTGACTCAGTTAGCAGATTAAAGGTTAAATGTCATAAAGGAGCGATGGTGGCAGGAGTTAAAGTGCCTGCCCTGTAATCAGAAGGTTGCAGGTTCGAGCCCGACTCAGTCTGTTGCAGTGTCCTTGGGCAAGACACTTAACCCACGCTGCCTTCTGGTGGTGACTAGAAGGACCGGTGGCGCCAGTGCTCGGTAACCTCGCCTCCATCAGTGCACCCCAAAGCAGCTGTGGCCACTGAATGGACAGATTGTAAAGCACTTTGAGGGGTTGTAGAACCCTAGAAGGTGCCATGCCAAACACAGGCCCTTTACCATTTCAAGGGACAAGAAAAGGAATGGCTTCTTCTGAAGGGTTAGAGGAGATCAAGGTCATGAGAGCATCATTTGGGTTTGAGTCTGTCATGGTCTGTGTCGGCGTCTCATCTCATGTGTCTCCTTTTGTCCTCCATTAGTTCTCTAGGTGCTCCTTTTGTTGTCCTCTAGCGCCCTCATGTGTCATGTCTGCATCTCTATATGGGGTGTTCTGTTTGTAGACCTTTTTATCATCCCCTCAGGTCCAGTGTGCATTTAGTTATCCTCTGTGCCCCAAGCTGCAGCTCCAGCCTCTTTGTCCCCAGTTGTGTGTGGGTGTGTGTCCATTACCCAGTCCATTGTGTGTGTGTGTGTGTGTGTGTGTGGGGGGGGGGTTTGTGTCCATCCCCCAGGTCATTGTGTGTGTGCATTTGTGTGTGTGTGTTTGTGTGTGCTTGTCCATTCCCCATTCCTGTTATATTAGTGCATTTGTGTGAGTGATGGTGTGTGTGTGTTAATCCTTCCCGCAGCCTTTAGGTTTGGTTTTGTGTTAGAGTTTTTTAGGTTTATCTGCCCTCCACTGGTTCTCTTCCCCATTCAGATAATTGTTGTCACCTGCCTTCCCTCCAGCCTCACTCCACACACCTGCTCCTTGTTTCCCTAATTGCTCTTCCCAGTGTATTTAGCCCTGTCTTTTCTCTGTGTTCTTGTCGGTCCATTGTTTGCTGTCGGTGTGAGTACTCTGTCAGTCTCTAGTTCCTTGTCTCTAGTTTTACTTGTGCTTCTTGTGTCTCAGTTTTGGATCACTAGTTTTGGATTACGAACGTGTTTGGATTTTGGCTCCCCACCCCTTTGGATTTACATGGTTTTGGTTCACCTTGAAATAAAGGATTTATTTGTTCATCATCTCCTGCCTTGTGTCATCCTGGGTTTCTGCAATTTGGTTTCCAACATCCCTCCTATAACGTGACAGAGTCAACCACAAGGTTCCATGAACAATGTCCAGAAACCAGGGTGAAGATGTTTACCCATAATGCACAGCAGCACATTTGGGGAAACCAAACAGCCTATTAGCACACATAATTCAAATCCGCTATCAGCACAGTGGTGGAAGGATGATGGTTCAGGTTGCATCATGAAACCCTCAGGAATTTTCTAGAGTGTGATGTGAGTCCGTGTGACAGCTGATGGAACTAAGACTAGAGCAGCAGGTCCGAGAAGGTTAAGAGGAACAAGTTCTGTTTGTATTTTAAGACTTTTAGATTCATTTGTCTGATTGTCAACTCAAACAGAAAAGTTGTTTTAAAGGCAACATATGTAAATCTGACTCTCCATCACCTGTCAATGCTGGAGGAGCAGCAGCTCTACTCTGACCCCCTCCCAGATATTTAGTCTCTTCATCTCATAGCAGCCAATCAGAGGAGGGTTGGGCGTGACCACTAACAGCTGAAACAACTCATTCAGGCGGGTATGGAAACCACCAAGAACAAAGCTGCTGGAATCACTTTTTATGAGACCAGAGAACCATTATGACTTGTCTAAGAGCTTTAACGTGTCTCCTTTAAGTTTCTAAACTGTAACGAGTGAACGACTCCTGCGGACCAACTCAGTAGCCCTCCTGAAAGTCACTGGTCTGGTTCTTAAAACGTAGCTTTCTATTTGAACTGTTAAAGCTCGTTGGACAAAAAGTCTTCAAAGAAAGAAGTGTGTTTGTGTTTGAGCCTGTGGGATGTCCTGAAGGACAGAACGGATGTCCAGTCTGTTGTTCCTCTGAGAATGGAATCATCCCACCTGAAGACCTGGAGACAACCCAATGGTTTCCTTCACGTTGGTCTGATAAAACCATAGAGTTGAGAGTCTTCCAGCTAAGATCAGATCAAAAGATGTTCTACCCTCCCCCGAATCAAAGCTTTCTCTGATCTTAGCAGTCCACCAGCTCAGACAGGTCCATCTTCACCCTGAAGCCATGT